GACCTGAGTTCAAAGAGGCATAAATCCCATGCAGCAATGCTCTACGCCTTCCTCCTCCAGCGCCTCTCAATTGCCTCCGTCTGCCTCACTCCCTGCTCTTTCCCAACCCCAAAACCAGCGGCCCAGATTTACCTGTCTACCCGCCCCACAAGAAGCGCTACCGTAAGATACATGACGAATCCTAGGAGAGTAAAAATGGAGGCACAGCAGATAAGAAGGAAACTTTCCGACATGCTCTTGACTGACAAGGTCTTGCAGTATATATGCTGTATCGCCTGAAGCCGCTTGGGAGCTGACAGGCGACAGCTGTCTGCCTTGGCTGACCACCATAAGCAATGTAGATGTCTCTGCTGATTTGCTGGTACACATTTTCTGAATTTTCGAAGTTTGAATGATAGAAATGGCTAATTCAATGAAAACTACTTAGTGATTGTTTCACTTATCTTGGCAGCAAATTTTGTAAACCTTGGAATGAAACCTTATTGTGATTGGCATTACTTAGGAGGTGTGTGAGGTTTATAATAAGTTACTTATAATAACCAACTAAGGATAATAATCTCTATTCGAAGATGCATCCCATTTGTATTTCATTAAAAAGATAAGGAAATTTTGTTTCTTTAAAATGTTCAATCATATAGATGATATAGTATTTGTGACTGTTGTTGTATTCATCAGTGATTTCGTGGCATGACTAAATTATGGGTTTTGAGTCAATAAATTGCGTTTTGTTGTTGTCCAATGTGGTTAAAGTGTATGAATCTGTTCTCGGGGATGACAGACGGAAGTAGTTTGCTTTGGCTGGATTGAAGTCTTAAAGCTAAGTATGTTCATAGTAAGCTGCGGAAGCCAATGAAGCTGCGGCTTACGTTACGCCAGAGGTTCGCTTTATTGAAGATGAATCTTTGGAGAGAGGAAGCAGAGCAAATACATGTACTTCTTTGTTTGTGCTGATTCCAAGTGTAGGTCTTTGTCAATGTATATAGATGTCTGATAAGGTTTGAGACTTGGTCACTTCTATCTTTTGTTTATGAATATGAGAGTTACAAAGCTTCTTATCTGATGGGTTTATGCATTGGAAATATTCCGCTACTTCTCCTAAGATTTTGTTAGCACATGATCCTTCCATGTCCGTTATGCATCGAGTTGTTTCTTGTGTAGGATTTCAATACAGCCTTTATAATGTGATGGCACAGTAGGTCCTTGGTATTTCTAATTTGTGTTGTATTTAATTTTCTTGGCTGGATGCTGCAGACTAAAATGGAATTTGATATTGCAACATGGCCCGGAGTGGGAAATTTTCTTGTAGCATTTTCTCACCTCACCCTAAAACTAACCAATTTTACATAGATTATTACTTGCCATCAATTATTCCGATATGCTATTGTTATCTCTTGGTTGCTGTAAAAAAGACTAAACAGTTTATACTTTGTAAATCCTTTGCAGGTCATTGCAATATTAGATAGGATAAAGGCCAAGAAAAAGATTGCAGAAGCTGAAGATGAAGAACAGTTTGACTCATCTGATTCATCTCAAGATGACAAGGATTGGGAAGACAATGACACTGATGAAGATATTATTCATGTGAAATAGTTACCTCCTTGGTTGCTGAGAGATTGTGATTGCTTTTAGCTTGGCATAGCAATATATAGCGTGTACTCAGGTTAGTTCGATCTTATAGATTCAGCCTCATTAAATGATGGATGGTGCTGGGATACTTGTTTATTACGCTTCATTTACAAAGAAAATCATCATTCAAAGTTATATACAGAAAAAATTCTTTTGTAATTTGTAGCTACTAGGCTATCGCTGCAGTCCCATTTCCATGGTTAAATAGAAGACATACAGAAAATTATGCTGGGAAAATGATGCACTTGCATCCATCTCTACTGTTTGGAATCACTTTGAATTTTGAAATACTCATTCTAGTTGTTATTGGAGTTGCAGTTTCTTAGAAGCTTGAATTGCTGGTACATTGCGATGAGAACTGGTAAATTTTTTTATATGAAGAGATTTTTCCATGTGCTGAGTTTCTAGTATTAGATATATTTAAGAAGGAACCTTTCGGCTTTAGATGGTGTCAATTGATGCATGCTTCTGCAGTTGAATGAAATGTAGAGACTTGAATAACTGCTGAAAGCATGTTTAATGTCTTGCAGTTTAGGGAGATTACATTGCTGACCCAGAGAAGCAACTCCTCTTGGTTTCGTTTGGATGCATATGCCTAAAATTGCCTTTGTTGTTTCACAGTGTAGTTTTCTTGCTCCATAATGCATGACTTTTTTATGTTTTATTTTTACCTCAAGAAATGTCTCAAGTGATTGAAAGCATAAAACTCTAAGTTAAAAATCTCGAACTCAAACCTTGAAATGGGTAAAGGAAAGATTAAGAGAATAAAAGAGCTATTTTTAGTTGTATAGCTTATCATATGATGTACCAAAAAAATATATGGTTTTATTTTTTTAGTAGGGATTTTTAGCATTTCAGTATAGATGTGTTGACAGTAGAAGCAAATTATTATATTGAAATATTTTATTTGTATAGTTTTTGTACATTACAAGTTAAATGTTTGACATTACAAACGTTTGAACCTTCATCCTTGACATTAAACTTAAATCAGTGTTGTAGTTAACGGATAACTTGCTAAACTAGTCATGAAAAGTGCAATCCTGTGTTAAAAAGATGGGAACCTTAGAAAATTCGCATGGTAACAGACTGAAGAACTCACACAGCAAAATGATAAACCAAATGAACTCAAACAGCAAATTGCCTGTTTAAGCTAACAAACATTTACCAATATAGAAGTCATAATAGATTTTAGAAGTCAAAAAGTAACATTATTATTTTGGAAGCATCCATCATCAACTTGCCCCATTGTTTCTCTACCCAACAAAAACTAAACAACCAGAATACCTCTGTTTAAATGACAAAGCAATGCTCAAAGGACTAAGCTAATAACTTGCAAAAAATTTTCAGATAAGCACAACATGGTCCAGAAAGCTACAGTAATCAAAGCATTCACCCATGGCAACAGGAAACAAAATCCTTCAGCTCTAGTGGTGAGCCTTAGCTTCAGCTTTCTTTTGAGAGTTTGCCTTTGCCTGGGGTCAACAGAACATAACATGCAAGAATCAGCATTCCATAGAATACATATAGTTCTACTAAGAGATTACAATGATTCAAAAGAAAGGCAGTATCACATGTCAGTGGGAGAAGCATTTTTAACAAGGATGAGATTGCTTTTGGTACTTTCCGTTGAATGATTGCTTCTGTATCAGGGGGGGGACAAGTCGCCACTTTACAATATACAGCTTCTCACTTCTTCAGTCATATTTCAAGTCACAATTCTGTGTAGTTACTACATATAGCAACATTCCTTAGATTTCTCATCTCTGGAGGCCTATTGCATCACTAATATACTTATCTCTAAGTCTTAACTAGTGTTGCGAAATGTGGTAGTTTAGTGTGACAGTGTAATGGACAAATGGAATGCTATATGCATACAGAGCAGAAGAACCAAATCCCATGATTAATTAAAGGCGACCCAAATTGCAGATCAAAACAAAATAAATAGTTATGAACTAAACTAAATTGTGGATATCAAGTAGTTGCATTCCGGAATACACCAAACAGGAAAACACACGGTGCCCTCATCATCCAATATTTATGTCCTTTTTTGAAAAAGAAAATCTATAAACTGAAACACATTGAAAAAAAATAAATTAATTAAAATTAAAAAAGAGTACCTTGAGGTATTTGAGTTTGATGCTCCCGTAAACGAGCCCAAAGGAGAAAGCAGACGCCCGAGCAACCTATTTGCCAAAAATCCAAATAATGGAAAACGATTTAAAAAAATGAAAATAAATTAAATAAATTACGATCTCAATTTTTCCAGATATATAAGAGAGTAATCCAGTCAATTCAATCTTTTCTCGAACTTTCTAGGGAGCCAAACAGAGAAGTGCGCTTACCAGAGCGAGAGTGCTGGTGCCGGAGTAAGGTCCAGGAGGCGGCGCCATGGGATTGGATCGTTCTTCGGATTCGCGCGATACGAGATGGAGAAGGTGAATAGGCTGCCGGAGCAGCGCTAGCGCTGGATAAATACCCAAATGGTTGGGACTTGGGTCGACATGACTTGCGGTCGTTTTGTTTTCTTAACAACGATGTCGTTTTGTTTTCCCAAATTTTTTTTAAGAATGTTGGGGGGGTGTTTAAAGCCCATTTGGATGTTTACATTATTTGGGCCCAAATTGATCTATTTATGAATGAGGGCCAGAATTTCAACTTGGGCTACATGTCACACCGGTTTGATTTGGTCGTGACGAGGAACAAGTCAATGGTTGAAGAAAGTGTGGAGTGGGTAGTATAGTGGCTAAAACATGATTTTAGCCATTTACCTTAATAAATTTATAAATTTTAACTATTTATTTTATATTATGATACTTTAATCCTCTCACTTATACAAATTAAAAAAAATAACTCTCATTTAAGATCAAGTTATAATGTTTTATTAACTTTATTAGTTAACTATTAGCATTCCGTTAACAAAATATTAACAAAACTAACAAATAAAATTAAATTTAAATTTCATATTTTCTATAACAAAATGTTAACAGATATTAACAATTAACTAACAAAACTAATCGTCAACTAACAAAATTAATAAAATATTATAATCTAATGTTAAATAAAAATTATTTTCATCAATTCATATAGGTGAGGAACTAAAACCATCACAATACAAGATAAAAAATTAAAACTTATAAATTTATTAAAATAAAAGACTAAAAGTAAATTTTTACGGTAGTATATTTGTAGTGTATTTTTTCAGCCACTTCGTTGGACTTTGGCAAGTCAAGGCTCACGTTCACTGGACAAAACATCAAATGCTGTTCTTGGCCCTACCCTCCATGTAATGTCCCATTCTTCCCAGACCAAACTTCTTCAAAATGGTCTTTAGTAGGAACCCGACACAAAGGCAGCCGACCTAGCTTTTTCCCCCACACGTTGAGGGTAGCTCCACCTTCTCTGCCATAAATCTTGGACCAGCCATAAAATTAGGGTTGACCACATTTTTAAGAATTAGAAAGACTAAAAAGGAATAACATCCAATTTTATGGCATGTTCTTTTGTTCCATGAGCACTCTCAAATACTTTTTCATCTTCAATATTCAAATAATCACTTTTATGCAAAGAATTTAGGTTTGCTTTTTCTACTTTCATTTGGACTAACACCTTTTATATATATATATATATATATATATTACTAATATGTTACAATTACAAAATGAATGTCATGCATTGGTGTGGAATGCCATTATGATCTCATGTTTGAAAATGAGACTACCCCACAACGTTTTTTTTTTTTAAAAAGGAGAATCATAGCAATTGGGTTTTGGTATTTTGACTAGATTTTAGTAGTTGAGTCCTAATTACTGTAAATAGTTTCATTTATTTATTTTTTTTACATCAAAATTAGTTCTTGATATTCTAAGGATTTTAATTCATAATCTTGAGTTGAATTAAATTTGTTGATATTTTTTTAATCTTGATTGTGAAAGATAAAAAGAAATATTATATCAGTGTTGTCAATTGACAATTCACTTCATTTGTGTGATATTTAATTTGAAATCAAAATCTTTTATTTTTATTAAAAGAAAATTAGCACTGCAATTTTTCTTTTTTGGTAAAGGTTTGTCTAAAGGCAAGGTTAATGAAGTTTTAAATGTAATTTTAATGCATTAATTTCATAAAAAAAATAAAAAAAATTAACATTAATTTTAACATCTTTAATACAAGAATACCTTTGATCAAATAATTGATAAATTTAATGTCAATTTTTAAATATTATTATGAATATTAATAATAAAAAAATATAATAAATACATTTATATCGTATGCAAAATAAAAAATCCCTTTTGATAAAGACCAGTTTAATTAGAAGTTAGAACTGTAATTATCTTACCAAATAAGACTCTCACAATTCAACCCAGTGACCAAGTCCTCACCAATGAAATGAGATTCGCGTGGTGACAAACACAACCTCAACTATCTAGTTATCCAGTCAAAACTCTTGATTCTCTACAGGGTCCAGTTTCAAATAAAAAAACTCAGAAACAGGTATTTTTTTATATGATGTTATAAGGATAATTTTTTTATATTATATTTTAATATAATTTTTTTATGTTATTAAATGAATATATATTTAATATCATAAATCTAAAATGAATGGATCAAAAAAATTAATTATTTAAATATATATCAAATTATACCAAATAATAATAAAAAAAATTACCCCAAAATTATTTTCCCATCTTCCTTCCTTGTTTCTACCGTCATTTTTTTGATAAAGACCAGTTTGATTAGGACTGTAATTATCCTACCAAATAAGATTCTCACAATTCAACCCAGTGACCAAGTCCTCACCAATGAAATGAGATTCCTGTGGTGACAAACACAACCTGAGCTATCCAGTTATCCAATCAAAACCCCTGATTCTCTACAGGGTCCATTTTCAAAGAAAAACCTAGAAACAGAGATCTTCCTCCCCTATTTCTACCGTCTTCACTTTCCCCTTCTGTATACGACATCCGAGCGGAAAAACTAAACATTTGAAGCAACCATCTATGGCGGCCGCCACCACTACCACCACCGTCTCTTATGTCCCGACCTCCTCCTCCCGCTCGATATCCACTCCTAAAGGAGCTGCCTTTACTCTGAACCCGCCCCAAAGATCCGACCTTTGCCTCTTCTCCAAACCCCTTCCTAAACCCTCTTCTTTCCCGCAGAGACCCTGCTGCGTTTTCTCCACTAAAAACCCCATCTCTGACTTTTTCTCCACAAATGGGAGCGGCCCAGATGATGGTTCTACCGTCTGGTTTTCTGATAATGACGATAAGCCCCGTGAAGAGTGCGGTGTTGTGGGCATTTTGGGGGACCCAGAAGCGTCTCGTCTGTGCTATTTGGCTCTTCATGCTCTGCAGCACCGTGGACAGGAAGGTGCAGGTATTGTAGCTGTCAACAACAATGTTCTTCAATCAATTACTGGTGTTGGGTTAGTTTCTGATGTGTTTAATGAGTCTAAGCTTGATCAGTTGCGTGGTGAAATGGCTATTGGGCATGTAAGATACTCAACTGCTGGTTCTTCTATGTTAAAGAATGTGCAGCCTTTTGTTGCTGGGTACAGGTTTGGGTCTGTTGGGGTTGCTCATAATGGTAATTTGGTGAATTATGTAGCTCTAAGGGCTATGCTTGAAGATAATGGGTCAATTTTTAATACTAGTTCTGATACTGAAGTTGTGCTTCATTTGATTGCAATTTCAAAGGCTAGACCTTTCTTTTTGAGGATTGTGGATGCCTGTGAGAAGCTTGAGGGGGCTTATTCCATGGTTTTTGCTACTGAGGATAAGCTTGTTGCAGTGCGTGACCCATATGGGTTTAGGCCTTTGGTGATGGGGAGGAGGAGTAATGGTGCTGTGGTGTTTGCCTCAGAGACATGTGCTCTTGATTTGATTGAGGCTACATATGAGAGAGAGGTCTATCCTGGTGAAGTGCTGGTAGTGGACAAAAAGGATGGGGTTCAGTCACTCTGTTTGATCCGTCACCCTGAGCCTAAGCAGTGTATTTTTGAGCATATCTATTTTGCTCTGCCAAATTCTGTGGTGTTTGGTAGGTCAGTTTATGAGTCACGGCGCCTCTTCGGAGAAATACTTGCCACTGAGGCTCCTGTTGATTGTGATGTTGTCATTGCAGTGCCAGATTCTGGTGTGGTGGCTGCTCTGGGTTATGCTGCTAAAGCCGGAGTGCCATTCCAGCAAGGGTTGATTAGGTCTCATTATGTTGGGAGAACTTTCATTGAACCTTCCCAGAAGATTAGGGACTTTGGTGTCAAGCTCAAGCTTTCACCAGTTCGTGGTGTCTTGGAAGGGAAGAGGGTTGTAGTTGTGGATGACTCAATTGTGAGAGGAACCACTTCTTCAAAGATTGTCAGGTTGATTAAGGAGGCAGGAGCTAAGGAGGTTCACATGAGGATTGCTAGCCCCCCAATTATTGGATCTTGTTATTATGGTGTTGACACACCAAGCTCCGAGGAGTTGATATCTAATAGAATGAGTGTGGAGCAGATTAGGGAGTTTATTCAATGTGATTCACTGGCTTTTCTGCCATTTGATAGCTTGAAGAAGATGTTGGGTAGCGATTCTCCAAATTTTTGTTATGCTTGCTTCTCTGGAAAGTACCCAGTTATGCCAAGAGAGGTTAAAGTAAAACGTGTTGGTGATTTTTTGGATGATGGCTTAAATGGACCTATGGATTCCATTGATGGAGGTTGGGTTCAAGGTCCTCGAGAGTCCACTGTTGAGAAAGAAATTGATGTCCAGTATCAACAGAGTAAGATTTAGTCATAACAGGCATGTGATGCATTGAGAAATTTTTGATGCTCCAAGTACAACAGTTATTTTGCTTCCCTGGATGAAGTAGCTTCTAAACTCTAAAGCTCACTCAATTTTGTCTGGTCATCTTAATTCTGCACACCTAACTTGATAAATGTATCAGTTTATTTTTCGCTTTTGATTACAGACAAAGGAATTGACGTGAACTTTTCGTTAACTTTTCGTTAACGTTGTTTTTGTTCTTCCCTGCTTCTCTGGTTATGTTTTCCAGCTTTTCTGCTTAATAAATCAACTCTGTGTTTTGCATCTGATTGCAGACTTGTAGTATGGGTTCCTATTGAAATTATCAAATTGTCTCAAAAGGTTATTTTGCATGTTATGAGTAAAAAGTGTACGCACCGGGATTTGGAATCTCATGTATCTGACACTCTGTATATTTTTTTGGTAAATGACATCGAATGTATAAAGCTTCAAAGAAAAGTATTTTGTAATATGTCCTGCACTGACTACATAACACCATCCCCAAGATCATGGGGGCAGAGGTGTTTGCAGCCGGCGTAGCAGAACACCTACAGCTATTTTTAGCTATTTTTAGGCCTGTTTGGTGGGATTCTTAAGAATTTCAGCTTTTAGATACTATTTATGTTTCATGAATTAAAATTTTTATTTTAAAAACTTATATTTTAAAATATTTTTTTAACCTCAAAAAACTCTTAAACAATAAAAATTCAAAAGTTTCAAATTTAAATTTTTCATAAACTCTCTTTTTACTTACTTTTCACTCACTTTTTCACCTTTCTAAAAGCTAAAACTTTATTTTCCCTCCAATAAAAATTTAAATTTATCACTTATAACAGTACTCAAAAAGCAAAAGTTCTCACAAGCCACACCAAACAGGCTCTTAATCTCTGATATCAGTCCTCTTCAAATGACTCCACTCTTGAGCCAAGCTGTATGTATAAGCTTATGTAATGGCAAATTTGAGTTTCTCACTTCCAGAAAATGTACAAAGAATTTTCAAAGTTGCATGATGATTCATGAAGGGCAAAGTTGATGTAAAAATCTCAACTTTATGTAAATTGGCATATTATTTTCCTGAATAGTTGCAATTTAAAATTGAGTTACAAAAGGCCTAAATCTAGATATTATCTCAAGCACATTGTTGTAAAATTATGAGTTGGCAGTACAAAATTTTGGGTAAGATGAACCTGATTCCTCACATCATAGTTGAGAGTAGATATCAATGTCTGTCAATACAAAAACGACCAAATTTCTTGATAAAAGTGGAGGGCAGCATGCATCTGCCAATTATTCTGGCTGTGCCTCTGGAAGTAAACAAGTGTATCGGTGTAAGAATAACGCAACAAAAAAATTCGTGGATATTAACCATTTTCTGCTCGATCATAAGCATTTGATTTGTGCTTTGGTGCAAATGTGAAGCCATCAGGAACCTTGCCCAGCAACATTTCTGATATTCTTATCTGCACAAATGAAGACGTTTAGAGAACTAGATGCCATTCGATGTAATTCAAGACGGTCAAATTCTGTGTTAGAAAAAAAAAATGAACTATTTACCCAATCAGCTGCAGAATCTGAGGCCATTAGAGTCTCAAGGTCATCTCGGCCATGGTAGGATGGTGGACGCCAGTTAAGCCGTTGAGGGATGACATCTAAAAGACCAACAGGAATATATCTACATGTGTAGCTCAGCCATTCCAATAAGAAATGCCTAGTTTTCTCAACACCTGCAAGATTTTAGCAAATACCAAGTGATTAAACCATGGACATCAGCATACGTATTCATCACTTGGAGATATATGGCAATGGTAATGGTGTAGCTCGCAATTCCAAAATACCATATATACCTTTTGTATCAGAGCCCCAATGTTCAAGACCAAAATGTACATAATCCCTCAAAATATTCAACCGCTCCCCAGACGTTATATCCCAGTGTCTTTGTTCCTTGATTTCAGTAAATATCCAAGGCTGAGAAGTAAACTGACTGTTAGTGGCAGGTTAAATTATCTAATTTTACAGTCCCACAACATTCAAACGTAATAGAAAGTTCCAGGGGAAAAAAAAAAGTCACTGACATGTAAAGCTCTAAACTACAGTACCTTAAGTAGTGCCCCTCGAGCAATCATGCATGATGATAGCTCAGGGCAGTCAGAAACATGCTTGTTCCAGTCTCCAAAAGAAAAAATATCACCATTTCCCAAAACTTGCAGAGTATCAGGGGCCTTCTTGGCACATTGGTATATGTAGTCCCAATCAGCAAGTTTGCTATAACGTTGTTGGCGTGATCGACCATGTACTGTGACTGCCCTGGCACCCCAGTAGCCAATATCTGCTATTAATGAATCAATGCGGTTTTTTCCTTCAAAATAACCTGTCCGTACCTGGTGCAGCAAAACTTGCAGCATTATAATCTTGGAAAAGCTTGATTGTTATTGGATTAAAAAGGGAATGCACAACAGGCTTTAGAGAAAAGGTTAGAAAAAAATGGCATGAAATAGCATATTCCATGAAAGTGAACAGTACTTCAAACATGTAAATAGACAAAAACAAACTGAACAGTACTTCAAATATGATGACATGCAACACAATATAGAAACTTTGTCTTCAATGAAATAATAATAAAGGCATTACAGGGTACCTTAACAGTTATAGGCGTCTCCACTGTTGCAGAGGCAGCTTCAATAATGCTTTTCATTCGCATAGGTTTTGTAAGAAGGCATGATCCAGCACCCTTGTTAACAACAATATCAATTGGGCAGCCCATATTAATATCAATGAAATCCACTGTACATTCCTTATCTATAAGTTCAACAGTACGTGCAATGGTATCTGGATATGCTCCACATATCTGGACACCAAACAAGTCCTCAGAAGGATGTCGCCTCAGCAGAGCCCATTCTGAAGCTTGACCCTACACCAAAGAAGAGGGTTATGTTGGCCTTCAGATGTGGAACATAGAGAAAAGAAGAAAGAGAGAAGCCACAACAAGATCACACTTAAAAGAGGAAGCCAAGGAAATGTTACTAATTCCTGATATCAGTATACCATAGTAGGAAGAAACTATGGCCATGTAGATATACGATATTCATTGACACAGCCATTACCATTCTAGATGGATAGCTATCCAAAGATAGGCTTCATTTTCTACATCAGCTGCTAAATGTCTAAGCTTAATGGTCAAAAACAAACTGAACATGCAAGAGGAAATGTACTTGATTTTTTTGTGAAAAATATATATCAAAGACCTTCAGTTGTGAGAACCAATGGGAAAATGTAACATACATACCTGCAAAAGATTTGTGCACATTGCCATTTCACCGCATGTTACATCTGCACCTAATACTTTACAAACCCTTCGGAAAGGGAGGTTCCCTACAGTGGTTAGAGGAGCAAGATACAGCTTTCCTCTGAAGTCAATAAGTTTCTTTTCACGAGGGTGTATCTTGAGGGTTTCATCAGGTTCTGCAAGTGCATCATCTGCTGTAGGCACTGATTCAGTTTGTGCAGAGCTTTTCTCAGAATCATTATCTAAAACCATTGCACCTGTTGCATTATTTAACCAAGTAAAAAACCTTCCTAGAAAGACAAATTAAGAACCAGAAACAAATACATTGCTCAAGAACAAGAGCAAAAAATAACCATCATCTACTTCACCATCGCAACACTTTTCATTAGCTAAAGATTTTGCTTTCTTTGATGGCCTAAGTTCATCAGTTGAACACAACATCTCATCCACATTTTCTGCTCCAATAGATTTTAGGCAGCATTCAGCATTGTCTACAGAGTCACCAGTCACTTTCATGGAAGATTTGTTTGTGTCAGTAGCATGAGCATTATTGAGCACAATCTGGTCTTTCTCTTCAGCTTCCAACTTTTTCTTTTTTGAGTTGGGCCCCTGCATTATCACACATCATTATGGAAATAACAAGAATCAGTACTTTGATATAAAATGATGGAACAAATAATTGCACATAAAGGGATGCATCGCATACCATAAGTCCAAGAGACTTAAGTATGGCATCTGCCTTAGTGAAGCGCACTTTATTTTTCCACAGAAGTTTCTGAACATCTTTATTCAGCCCATTGATCTCAGAAGTTTTCTTAAGCGCATTAGGATTACGAGCAGTAGCACCATCCTTATGTGTGCCCAAGAACCTGCATGTTAAACCAAAAGGGCATGGTCCATCCACACTCAGAAATGGGCAGTCACCCTCCAAGTCAGCTGGTTTCTGCATTTAACAACATCATCTTGACTTGATAAAGATAAACCTCAGAATTTTCAATACTCAGACAACCAAAAAATGAGGAAGAAGAAGAAAATAAGGAAAATGAACAATGTAATAATACCTGAGCCTTAAAGGCTTCAATGTCATGGCTGTAGCGGCATTTATCGCCATAAGGACAGGCACTTAAATCTCCAGACTTTGATACCTCTGGACATAGATTCAGTGCAGATTTTTGTTCCTGTAGGTCCAAAGATCATCATTGCAGATCAAACAAATTCATTTCCTATTTTTCTCTTCTAATCAGCAAACAGAATACACCATTTCCAAATGAAAAACCAAAATTTAGTAAAAGATAGAGCCCAAATTGATGGTGAAACTCGTATCTAGTCTTTTATGCAATAATTTTGATTCTTTTATCATTAAAAGAAGAAGAAGAAGAAGTAAATGATTAACATTTAACAATTCTAGATACCAAGCTCTCCAATTTAAAACAGGAACCATTGAAATTTAGCAGATAAAACAAGAACGAAAGCATTAAGTATTGTATGGTTATGATATGGTACTTGACGACGCTCCCGTTTGAGCTGGCGCTTGGATTTCTTGTCCTTGACTAAGCTTGACTGAGACGGTTTCGAGTCGGCATCTGAACTTGCATTGTTTTGAGTGGTTCTAGAGGGTGGGGGTCGAAGAAATTCCCGTTTTATCGGAGCAATAGCTCTGGCCACAAGCTCTTCCGGCGTTTGTAGTTGCTGAGTAGCTCCATTCAAGTCGGAAGCTAACTGTGAGGGCGGCTCCTCCTCCGCCACACAATCGCTCTCTACGCCGAGTTCCGTATCTGACTCCGCCATCGCAGGCGAGTTGAGTGCCTTCTTTAGGGAGTAGAGACCAGGGGAATGTGCTGCTACTTGCTAGGGTTTAAGAAATGCGTTACTGCTTTGCAGTT